TATAGTTAGCTGCAAATTAATTTGCCTGAACTATAAATTACCTACAAAGAATATAATACTAATAAGATAGTAGCGAATACATCCATTTATGTGCTCTTTGTAATAGTAGTATTAACCTTGGTAATAATTGAGCAATTCTAATCATCAACGATTTCCTTCATGTATTTCATCACATAATATCCACATTCTACAATTCCTTCTTGCGAAGGGCACTTAATATACAATTCCTATCACTAAATCAAGGTGTGTAACAGAAAAGCAACATGCAGGGAGAGAAGGAGCTCTCACCTTGAGAAAATATTTGTCATAAAAAAACCTACAAAATCTATAAAATAATTATCAAAAACATATAAAACATAAAGAAATATACCTGTAAAATTAGCTATTAAACTTAGAGATAAATAATACCTGTAAACAATTAGCCAAATTGTTTAAAACTTCAAGATAAATAACTTGAGAGAAGAAACCATACGGTAAAGATTTAAAAATTTGCCTCTACTCTCTTCATGTGTTCATAACTCTTGTGCCCGTTGAATTTGATAACATTAAAAAGTAACTCACCTAGGATCAAATGGAGTAAAGAAATAAAATAGCGAAGAAAAAAACACTTAGGGTTGATCTCAGTTTACTACCTTGAAGTTTCTTGGTTTTCAACATTCATGAAGTTTTTTCGTAACAGTCTAGTACATAAAGTAATAATACACATTCATACATCCGTTAAGTTTTTTATCAGAACCTCCGTTAACTGATGATGTGGTATCCACATGGACAATGATTAGATACCACGTGTCAATATGGGTCCATGTGGATATTAAAAAATTAAAAATTAAAGAAAATCTCAAACTTCCCCCTCCTTCGACTCCTCTCATCTGATCTATCCCACTCCTCCCTCTTCACATCCCTGACCCACCTCTTCCCTCTCCTCCACCCTCTCCACCTTCCATCCCTTCTTTCTCCCTAGATTAACCCACGCAAACCATCCATTTGTTCTGCGATCCTAAAATTCTCCATCGAAGCCCTAATTTCAATTACCTTTCGATCTGCATCTCACTTGCAAACGGATAAGAGGAGATGGTTGGGAGAGATCGATGGTGGTTGATGGAGAATCAGAAGAACGGAGATGGAGAAGACGAGGTGTAAAGGTTACAGTGCTCGCTCATTCGGTTAGGTTCGCGTGGGTTGATCTAGGAAGAGGAATTAAAATATTAATTTTTTTCCCCTTGTCTTCCTTTCTTCCTATGTCTCTGTGTCTCTCTCCCTCATTCTTCTAAGAGAAAACCAGCAACCATCAATCTTCCCCCACCGATCCAACCCCGTGGGCTACAAGAAATGGGTTCCTAATTGGATTTTTGTCCGACAAATTCCTCGAAAATTAGAGATGGCAAAGCTTGGAGGTGGCGTAGGGAGGGTGGAGCTCTGGCATGGAAATCAAAGAGAGATGACGGTAGGAATTGTGCCATTAGGAGCGGTTTGAGTGCCTTTGTTTTTGGATTTGGAATGTTTGGAAGAATCAGAACTCTACTGTTGGGATTTTAGGATGAAAACGGTGGGGGGTTTGATTTGGGGTTTGGATTGGAAATAATTTAGAAAAGAAACAGAATTTTCAATTTTTTTTTGTTTTTTAAATATCTATGTGGGGCTCATATTGACACGTGGTACTTAGTCATTGTCTATGTGGACTTCACATCATCAGTTAATGGAGGTTCTGACGGAAAACTTAACAGATGTATGAAAGTGTTCCAAAATTATGACTTTATGTATCAGATTGGGACAAAAAAAATTTATGTAGCAAATATTGAAAACCAATAAACTTCAGAATAGTAAACTGAGATTAATCCAAAAACTTAATTGTAACCTTAGAACTACTTACATTCACGTGATAACTCAAAAGCACAACATATGGAATACCTGGACATTTTTTTTCGATTTCTGCACAGTGATTCTGACGTTTTTCTTCTTTGCAAAACCTAAACATGATGAAAAGAGTGAGAGAATGTGAGTGAGAGAATGTGAGCGAGAAAAAGGGTAGCAGGGAGATGAAGGAAGAAAGACGAAGAAAATTAAACCGAATGAATTACTCACCCACTAGAAATTTCTCTCTCGCTATTTATTGTCACTGAAAGCATACCGAAACAACCCACCGATCTCTTGAAAATGGGATGATCATATGTGGAATCATCTTCTCTAAATATGGGTCGGTTCTTCCTCCGTAGTAGCACGATTGCTGTTTGGTTTTCTAATACATGGGTGAAACAGCGAAGTGATTATTTACGAGGTCGTGGATTTTTTTATAGTGAAACTACTATACCTATGTGGGATAGGTGAATATCCCTTAAAAATTAATTTATGAAGTCTAGCACTTTTTATTTATCAAGGGGTATTATAAGGATATTTCAAGTTTTGTCATTTTAGGGGGCGTTTGTTACACCTCCTTAAGTGGGACAGGCTTGGACTGGCTTAAGTAGAATTATAATCCTACGTTTGGTAAGGGCCTGGACTAAAGTAAATGAGACTCGCCTCGACTAGGAGGCGGTCTCCGCTTCGCTAAACCTCGTTAACGAGTCCCGAGCTTTTGCTACGTATTAAGTGGGACTAATATGAAGACGAGGCCGACAGCAAGACCCGAGCTTCCCCTTGCTAAATCCCAACTTCCATTCCCTGGGTTTTCCATTCTTTCTTCTACGGCACTGTAACCGTGGCCATGCAGTCGACGACGCTTGCTCTTCCGTGGCCCGAGTCAGGGGGACAACTGCAGCTCACAACCGCGCGGACACACCCACCGCCTAATCTCAAACTCTAACCCCCAAAATTGAAAGAAAAAAAAATTTATTAACTGCTGCCCATATCGCACAGATGAACGAAGTTCTAATAGCTTGGCATAAAGTTCTCACTTCGAATCTGGCTAATTGAATAGAGAAATATAACATCTTTCGTTGCTAGCTTGCTATTAAATTCGTGAAATGATTGACAGCGCAGTAACAGAGTTACGAACCACTGTTGTAGACTTGCAATGGCAATCCTTTGCTCCAGTCATCTCTGCAAACAATTTTGATAGAGAAAACAAGTTTGGGGACGAAGAGAGATATAGAGACAGAGAGGGAGAAGGAGGGTGATAAGGAGGGATTGGGACTGAGCCAATGAGGAGAAGTGAGAAGTTTCCAGAGAGAGTAGAGTTTTTAAGAAAAGAAAAAAAGAAAAATGTTAAATCAATAATAAAAAAATATATTATAATATGTATTAAATAATATAATAGTATGGTTTGTTAATTACCCTACTTCTTAGTCCGACACTGCACCAAACGTTTCACTAAATTAGTCCAGCTTAGTCTAGTCTAAGCCAGTCCAGCTTAGTCCCTGCAGCTAGTCTAGTCCGAGACAGTCCGGTGCAACAAACGCCCCCTTAGGGTGTTGGCCAACAAAGAAATGAAGGGCCTGTTTGGGATTGAGGTGCTTAAAAAAAAAAGCTACTATGAAAAAAAGCTATGAAAATTTTTGGTGTTTGGTAAACTTTGAAAATCAGCTTTTTTTCAAAGTTGAGGGTGAAAAAAAGCCCAAAACCAAGAGATGACAAGAAGCTGCAATTTGCAGCTTCCAAAAGCAGCTTATTTTCACCACACACGGGTGAACAGTGTCCAGGTTTAATGAAATATTCCATAACCCAAAACTGCCCTCGGCTTTTCCCTTCACCGACGCTCTCGCCTTTCTCCAAAACGCTCTCGCCTTCCCTTCACCAAAACGCTCTCGCTCTTCACCTCAGAGCTCTCTCGCATAACCCGAACCTCAGGCTCTCTCTCGTTCTCTCGTTCTCTCGTTCCGTCGTTCCAAAAACTACCGATCTCGTTCTCCAGGTTTCTCCAGGTAAGCTTCTCATTTATTTGTTTGGATTTTTCAAATTAGGGATGGGGAGATTAGGGAAAGAGGGGTGGGAAGAGCAAAGGGATGAGGGTATGGGTGTCGGGAAAAACAATTGGGGATGGAGGGTGGGGAAAAATTAATTGGGGAACGGCTATGGCGTCCCCAGAGATGACCACATGGTAATTGCCTTTCTGGGTTTGGTTTCATTTGTGGGTTTTTTGGGGGTTTTTTATTTGGGTTTTGGGTTTTATGGTTCAAGTTCTGATCTTTTTGTTTATGATCTTGTTTTCGTGTTCTAATCCTAACTAGTTTAGATTAAGTGGCTAAACTTGTTTTTGATCAATTTTATTAGCTAAAGTTGCAAGCTTTGTGTTTGGCACTGCAAATTGTAGATTAAATGTTAGGATTAGTACATAATTAGAGCTCTGGTTGTGATTGTGTTATGATTCTTGCTTGTGCTAATGCTTTTCAGTTTTCGGGATTTTACAGGGAAGAGTATGGATTACAAGAGCGTCGAGGACGCGATCTTCGGTTTGGAAAGTTAGTGATAAGCAGCCAGGTTGACTTCTGTCTTTGAAATTCATGTAATCATTGTCATTGTGCTAATCATCCTCACCATAACTAAATGTGCCACTGTTTGGTTTTGTGGACCTGTGGCAGGTTATAATGCAAGTGACTCAGATTCAGATGAACTGAAGGGTGATTCTTAGCACGACGAAGTTGGCCTTCGTGTCCGATCAAATTTTGAGCTGGTATCGCTATTGTTCTTGGCCTTCTTGTGCTTGTTCTTCTACATCCTGCAATGTTTAGAATAACATAGCATGCAAAATGAGTGAACAATGAATATGTTATCCATTCTCAAAAGTTTATGATCATATGAAATCTGAAGAAGTTGGATTTGTGTTCTTTAACTGGTTATTAATTTACATGGTTTCTTTGTTTTGTTTGGTGGGGTAACTGCATTTTTTGTGTGCGTGTACTTGATCCACAATCGACTGACATTGACATGCTTTCGTTTTTGTTTATCTTCCTTTATACTGTTGATGCAAACAAATTTACAGAATATTGCTTGTTTCTCCTTGATTTTCAAGCTTAGAATTTGCTCCCTCCTCCCCAATTTCCTTCCCTTCTACCAAGACAAGAGGACGGAGCAACAGTATGTAACATATTTCCTTCCCATTATCATTTGTGATTCCTTCCACTTCTCCATCCTTATCTTTTGTTAAGATTTTCATTATACATGTCTAGTAAAAGAATATTGAGGTAATATGGTCAAATTGAAATCTGAAGAGAAAAAAGTTAAAACTATTCCTTAAGCTTGATCTTTCAAGCTCTGTGTGCTAGTATCTGTTTGTGTGGATTGCTGTGTCTGCCATATCCCAGAGGATTTCAACTCGTCTTTCGTTGTGCCTTTTTACTGATGAATAGTTTAGCACACGTCGCTGCATAGAAAAAACATAAAATAGATTCAGCATTGTGCATATTTTTGTTCCTTATGGCTATTCATTTTTCTCTGGTACGAGACTGGGTATATGAAACTGAACAGTAAGCAATATTGTGATACCTAATGGTGGCAGGCAAGTAGTGATCAACAAATAACTTTATCCTCCGCCAGATAATTGATGTTTTCCTTCTTCAATTGTGCATATCCCGCTAAATTGATCTCTAATGTCTTGTTTCTTGTGGTAGGATGTCGTAGGCTGTGCTTGGAATCGTGCTGACCCTCGCCCGTCATGGATGTGCCTGTAACAAGATTTATACTTTCTTCAGTTAATTTTGTTTATTTTCTGGACGTATCACTGTACCTAAGCCTTTATTTTCATGGGAAGACAATCATTTGTTAATTGCAATTTCATCTCTAAAATTTCGTTTGAGTTATTGTGAAAGTTAACCATGCTTAAGTGAAAGAACACGTGGCAGATGATAAGAGTTTATGATGGTGAGCAATAATGCTCCCAATAGTTTCAATAGTCTGATTTCAAATAAAAAAAAACTACTTGAATGTAAAACGCATTGAAGGCCCTAAAAACTTAAGACCTCGTTTTCAATGGCTCGTAGAGTCTCAGAGCAATTCCACGCCTAAAAAAATGAGCTGGTTCAAATTTCATTTAATCCACCCAAAATGAAATTTTCAATGGCTCGATAGTAGTGATGATGATGATGATGAATATCAAAATTATCAAGTTGAAGGATCACATGAGATAGAGGCATTAAGAAATAGAATAGCAACAAGTTTGATGAATGCATCTAATTAGACTACTTTCAAGTACATTAACAATATTGTACTAATGAATCCTAGCTATTCACTCTAAAATATTTCTATTATAGTTTGTCATCTAATATATTCTAGATAAAGTTTAAATATTTTTCTCTAAAGATATTTTATTCACTTTTATTTGTTGAAATGAATATGAGTAATATCCCTTTTGGCATTCCACAGTCCAGCTGGTTTACAAAAAGTTTACCAAACCATTATACTGATTTTTTTTCCAAACCTTTATCAAAAAAGTTTAAAAATTTGCTCTTTATTCTGCACCTTCTATACAAATTATAGCTTTTTTTAAAGTTACCAGCGAAGTCTAAAGTTTTATACATTTGAAAGGAGAATGCATCAGTGGCCCAACCATTGATCCTCGTATTAAACTTCGATAATTTATACTAATTAAGCACTAAATCACAGTATTATGTTAAATAAAAACATATAAAATCTTGAAAATAAATACAAAAGAACCAATCCTGATCCCATATCCATGTTTTCTCTTAGTCCAAAGTTTGTTTCTATGAACTGAGATTTCCATAAAGCCTCTCAAGTTGTAGCTAAATCTAAAACTAAGTATGTGTATAAACAAGTTTCCCAAAAAAAATAAAAAGTATGTATATAAACATAATCAATGGAATGATGAGAGTGAAAAATATCAATGCCTTTTCTCATACTGTGCAAATCCCACAATTCTTTTATGCGATAAAAATGCAATTTCAAATGTCATTTTTATGCTCTGTACGCATGACAAACTGGATAAATAGATCAAACACCAACAATATATTGGTGGAACATAAATACAAACAATTAAACAAAGAAATGCACATTTGGTTCTGAGTTTTAAGGATGAAAATAAACATAAATTGATGAGTAGAAACCTTCGATGATGGTCTTCAGAGCATCGTTGATAATTGATTAATAAGAAAGCTTAAATTTGCCAAAGTCACCAAAACCCAAATATAACATCCCACATCGTTCAGGGGAGTGGATCCTGTAAGTCTTCTATGTATATTCCCATCTCTACACGAGGCCTTCTAGGAACTTACACGAGAACTTCTCATGATGGGTGACCCACTAGGAAGTTCTCGTGTGACTTCCCAGAAGGCCTTGTGTAGAGATGAGAATATACATATAAGGCTTATAGGATCCACTCCCTTGGACGATGTGGGATGTTACACCAAATCCTTATTTCATGTTTACTGTGGAAAATATATAAAATATGAAACAAAAATTTGAGTAAAATAAAATTGAGACAACAAAAAATGTGTAAAACTCTTTATTAGCACAAATTCAAATATTAAGGAAGCATAAGTAGGGGGTGTGGATAGTGGCAGAGCCACATGGAGGCCAGGGTAGGGCTAGGTCCCTCCTAGAATTTTATATATATTTGCAGAGCCACATGGAGGCCAGGAGGCCAGGGTAGGGCTAGGGCCCTCCTAGAATTTTATATATATTGGCAGACCCACATGGAGGCCAGGGTAGGGCTAGGCACCTCCTAGAATTTCACATATATATATATATATATATATATATATTGTCTGGTTGTTTTAACCATCAACAGCATTTGGTCTATTGGTTATATACGTTTGACAATTCTAGAGGGTTATGGGAGGCCAGGGTAGGGCTAGGCCTCTCCTAGATTTTTATATATATTGGCAGAGCCACATGGAGGCCAGGGTAGGGCTAGGCACCTCCTAGAATTTGTTATATACGTTTGACAATTCTAGAGGGTTATGGGAGGCCAGGGTAGGGCTAGGCCTCTCCTAGATTTTTATATATATTGGCAGAGCCACATGGAGGCCAGGGTAGGGCTAGGCACCTCCTAGAATTTCACACACACACACACACACACACACACATATATATATTGTCTGGTTGTTTTAACCATCAACAGCATTTGGTCTATTGGGTTATATACGTTTGACAATTCTAGAGGCGCGCACACACACACACACACATATATATATATTGTCTGGTTGTTTTAACCATCAACAACATTTGGTCTATTGGTTATATACGTTTGACAATTCTAGAGGCGCGCGCGCGCGCGCGCGCGCACACACACACACACACACATATATATATATATATTGTCTGGTTGTTTTAACCATCAACAACATTTGGTCTATTGGTTATATACGTTTGACAATTCTAGACACACACACACACACACACACACACACACACACACATATATATATATATATATTGTCTGGTTGTTTTAACCATCAACAGCATTTGGTCTATAACCATTTGGTCTATTGGTTATATACGTTTGACAATTCTAGAGAGACACAAACACACACACACACACACACACACACACACACACACACACACACACACACACACACACACACACACATATATATATATTGTCTGGTTGTTTTAACCATCAACAGCATTTGGTCTATTGGTTATATACGTTTGACAATTCTAGAGGGTTATGGGTTTGAAACTTGCTGGACCCATTAACTTTTGTTTTTTAAACCCAACCTACAACCTTTTGTTTTTTTTTTTAACCCAACCTTATAACTAAGCTTATGTTTTACCATATAAAATTCAATTCATTTTTCTGGTTAGTTCATATAAAACAAGATCTATACAATTTAGAAGAATATCTAATTATGTTGAAAGAAAAATCTCATAAGCATAGTTTTGATTCTTGACCTTAAATTTTTGTTCGAGCCTTAATCCTTTTTTTTTTTATCAAAACTCAAAAGAAATTATGTTATTATAATATAATCTTCTTAATACCAAATTTTTCATACAAATTTTAAATTTCCATCACATTTGTTTGATTAACATTTTCCATGTAAAAAAACTTAGTTTTACTCCAAGTAATTATATTGTTATATTTTGTCTAGTTTCTTTCATATGGCTTAAAGGCCCCTCATGAGATCAATTTCTCACTCTGCCACTGGGTGTGGAGAATGTATAAAGAACATGTTGAATTGATAAATTGGATGCAAAAATAAAAAGATAAAACATAACTCAATATTTTGTTCATGAACATATGTGCATTTATGTCACCAATACTTTCACCAATTGCTTTCTCTCTTATTGGTATGGGGTAATGGTACAAAATCGATAAAATAATAATAAAAATTCAAGATAAATAACTTAAGAGAAGAAACCAAACTGGATTTAAAAGTTTACCTCTACTCTCTTCATGTGTTCATAATTCTTCTACCATTCGACAATATTAAAAAGTAACCCACCTAGGATGAAATGGAGCAAAGAAATAAAACAACAAAGAAGAAAAAAAAAGCACAACATATGTGTAGAAAAAGATATATAGGCTGAAAAGTATATTTCATTAATACGTGAATAAGAATATATACAATTACATTCCTTGCGTACCAAGGCAATATCCTTACAAGTTAGGAATACAATTATAATTAGGATTACAGTCATACATAGACTCCAACTGTGTTTCTACTTTGTCTAACACTCCCCTTCAAGTTGGAGTGTGAATGGCAAGAACTCCCAACTTGTGTAACATACTCGAAAACTTCTCCTTGTTGAGAGGCTTGGTGAACAAGTCTGCCAATTGTTGTGTTGTACCCATATACTTGGTCTCTATAGTGCCATCTACAATCTTATCTTGTATAAAGTGACAATCCATCTCAATGTGATGAGTGAAAAACAGGATTAACGGCTATATGTAACGCTGCTTGATTATCACAAAATAAAACGAAATGACCAAAAGGGAAATATTCAAATCCTTCAACAAAACCCGAAGCCAAATTACCTCGCAACAAGCACCTGCCATAACCCTATATTCTGCTTATGCTAAAGAGAACGAAATAGTCTTTTATCGATTCGTCTGCCACGAAACCAAAGAATTGCCCAAGAATACACAGTACCTAGTAGTAGAACGGCAAGTGATAGGACAACCTGCCCAATTAGAGTCACAAAATGCAGTTAACTTGATTGGGTTGTCAGAACGGAATAATAAGCCTTGACATGGGGTAGACTTTAAATAACGAATAATATGAAGTGCAGCATCCATATAAGGTATCCTTGGCTTGTGCATAAAACGACTCAAAACATGCACATAATAAGTGATATATGGTCGAGTTATAGTGAGATAAATTAGCCATCCTACTAAACGTCGATACTTTTCAGGATCCTTGAGAAGTTCTCCTTTATCAGACAATTTTGTGTCGTCCATAGGAAAAGCGACAGGCCGTGCTCCTAGAAACATACTTGCGCTGTGAAATATAAATCCCTTGTTTGGATTGAGAAACCTCAATACCCAAAAAATATTTTAAATCACCAAGGTCTTTTATCAAAAAATGATCATGGAGAAAAGATTTCAGAGAATCAATTGCACTGACATCGTTGCCTGTAATTACAATATCATCCACATAAATGAGCAAAGTTGCAAAAGACGTACCAGACTTCTTCGTGAAAAGTGAATAGTCAACTTTGGATTGTTGA